TTTTTTTTTTTTTTTTGGTACAGGGGATCGAACTGGGGACCTTGTGCTTGCGAGGCAGGCTGCAGAACCACTGAGCTACATCCCCGGCCCTACATATCTTGGTTCTTATTTTTTCCCCATTCCCCTGCTCCATGGATTTTATATACTAGCAATTAGGATGTGGAAATCAAAAAATAATAAATAACGTAATTGCTCAAAAATATTTTAAGTAGTAAAAAACCAATAGGATTTGGAGGTTAAACTATAAAATACTGGTGAAATACATCAAAAAAGATCTAAAGAAGAGATGGACATCATCCTAACAGATTGTGCTACAGTTTGGTTAGGGTTTGGATGTGTACCCCAAGGTTCACTGTTGAAATTTAATCACTATGGTGGGATATTCAAAGGGTGGAAATTAGCGGCACATGGTGGCACACAGCAGTAATCCCATGAGAAGGCTGAAGCAAGAGGACCAAAAGTTCAAGCCCCGCCTGGGCAATTTAGCAATTTAGCAAGACCCTATCTTAAAAAATGGTTGGGCCGGGAAGGGAATGTAGCTCAGTGAAAGGCCCTGGTCCAAAAAAAAAAAAAGTGATGGGTAAAAATTTAACTTGACGATAAGAGTTTTGAGTTGGGGCTTTCAGGAGGTGATTAGAATTAGGTAAGGTCATTAAGGGACCACTTACTGAGCCCTGCTGGCTTTTGAGGGAGAGAGACCAGAAAATCCACACATGCATGTGGTCTCTTGCCATGTGATGCCCTGTAGCGTCTTGAGACTTTGCCAATAAGAAAACCATCACTGGGTACAGCCCCTCAATCCTGGACCTCCGTGCATCAAAGTAAACCTCTGTCATCTTAACTCAGGTATTTCATTTTAAAGTAGCAAAAGAAATGAATAAGGGAAGACTCAACATAGCAAAGGTGCTAATTCTCCCCAAGTTTAATGCAATGGCTCTCAGAACCCCAGTATGATTATTATATACAAGGTGATTCTAAAATTTATGTGGGGAGCCAACAGAACTTAGAATAATTTAAACGTTTAAAAAGAAAGGAGGAATCAATCACTCCACCAGATTACAAGATTTATTAAGTAGTGACAGTAATCAAAACTGTGCTTATTCCTCGCAAGCGCAAGGACCCGAGTTTGATCCCTGGTACCAAAAAAAAACCAAAAACAAACCAACTGTGGTTATTGGCAGAGAGACACATAGATAAACATAATGAAATAATTCTGAAAGGCACAAAAACAATAGAGAAAGCATAGTTTTTCCACAAACGGTGCTGAAGCAATTTGGTATCCATAAGCAAAAAACAAAATCTTCCATCAAAACCTTACAGCAGCCTAGGGTAGTGGGGAATGCCTGTAATCCCAGCATTCAAAAGGCTGAGGCAGGAGGATCACTGAAATTTCAAGCCTGGGCTCCATAGTGAGGTCAAGGCTGGTCTGAACTACACAGTGAGACCCTGTCTCGAAAACAACGACAACACAACAAAAACAAAAACCCACCCACCTTATACCAGTTATAGAAATGGACTAGAAATAGATCTTAGATTTAAATGTCAAATGTAAAATTCTAAAATTTAGAGTAGAAAACAGTATCTTCAGAACCTACAACCTGAAGTATTGTTAGATATGACAAAAGCATATTCCCTACAGGAAAAAAAGTAGGTGTATTAGACTTCACTGAAATTAAAAACTTAAAAGAAATTAAAAAATTAATTGGGGGGGTACAAGTTTTCACCATGTAGTTCAGGCTGGCTTCAAATTTGCAGCAATACTCTCTTGCTTCAGCCTCCTGAGTGCTGGGATTACAGGTGCCACTACATGTGAATGAGAAAACCTTTAAGCCAGGTATGGTGATAGGTATACTGTAATAGACACAAATCCCCCCCCCCAAAATATAGACACAAATGCAAAAGTAATAGTAATTACAATTATTGATGGTCTAAAGTTGCCAGTAAAATTAGGGGATCAGATTAGATGAATGATAGATACTGAGTTATATTTTAATTTTGAGAGACATCTAATATAAAGGCACTGAAGACTGAAAGTAAAGGGGTTGGGAAATATGACAAACTACCAAAAGTAAACTGGATTAGCTCTATTAGTCATAGGTAAAGTAAACTTTAAAGCAATGAACAAATGTTTCACAAAAACTTGTACATAAATGTTCACAGCATTATTTCTAAGAGCAAAAATGTAAAAACTCAAATGTCCAAGAATAAATAAAATATGACAGAGCCACAGGATATTCAGCAATAGAAGAGAAAGCTACAGCATGAATGCTACAACCTGAATGAACCTGGAAAACATGCTATGTTAAAGAAGCCAGCTTCAAAAAAATTTGTTTTGTATGATTCCATTTATATGATAGGCCAGAATAAGCAAATCTACATTGACAGAAAGTAGATTAGTGGTTTGCAGGGCTGAGAGGGAGTAATGGTAGCAGTAATGGGGTGTGACTGCTAATGTGTGTTGAATTCCTTTTGTAACAAAAATGTTCTAAAATTAATTATGACAATGCACAATCCTGCGAATATACTCAAAACAACTCAATTATACTGCTATTTGAACTTGTAACCCCACTTCAAATTTAATTCCCATTAATTGAAATCTACTGTCCAATAAAACTCTAACAGAGATGGTAAACTTTTTCGAGTTTTGACTCATTCATTTAGGGGGAAGAAACATTTGGACCATTTTCTTTTCTCTTTTAATTTCATTTCATTTAAAAAATATTATTAGTGGTTCGAAACTCACATTGTAGTAACACTATGGTTCTAAGGTATTGAAATTTGTCGATTTTTATAAATATGTTTGCTGAAAAATACGTTGTATTCTATTAGGCAAGTACTAAATTTTATATAGGTCTATTGGTCAGAAAGTGTATTGTTAAATCGCTAAATTGTGATCCTCCTGCCTCAGCCTCTGGAAGTGCTGGCATTACAATCCCACTGAGGTTTTTTGTTTGTTAGGGTTTTTTTTGTTTTGAGACAGAGTCTCGCTTTGTAGTTCAGGCTGGCCCTGAACTCACCGTAGTCCAGACTGGCCTTGAACTCTCAGCAATCCTGCCCCAGGCTCCCTCCCGAGTGCTGGGATTACGGGCGTGGCCCACCGCGCTCAGCTATCCCACTGATTTAAAAACAGCCAAAGTTTCATTCTCTGAACCCGCTTGGGATTCGAGATTCGTGGGTTTGTGTACGTTCTAACCTGCATGCTGTACTGTAACACAGTAGGCGAAATCCTATTCTAGCCGTTTGTTTATCGACCGGGCGGAAGCGGGACTTGAGACGAAAGCGCGGCCAAAAGCATCTCTTGCCTGGCCTCGCAGGCTAGCGCGGGTCCTGCCGCCCTCTAGACGCCCGCCTGGCAGGAGTGTGGGCCCGCCCCGCCCCGCCCCGCCCCGCCCCAGCCATCTGCAGTCGATTCGTCGAGGCTGCACGGTGAGCGCGCAGCTCGACTGGCTCTGCCTGCCGGGGTGGAGCCTTTCCCGCCGGCGCCGTCGCGGGCCTGGCGTGGGAGGAGGCTCGGGCCTGCTGTCGTGGGCCTCTCAGGCGCCGAGGCTCGTCTCTTACCGTCGCCTCTGCTTCAGCTTCGCCTACTTCCTGTCCCCAGCGGGCTGGGCGCAGGGAAGACCTGCCGGCGCCATGGAAGATGAGGTGGTTCGCATTGCCAAAAAGATGGACAAGATGGTGCAGAAGAAGAACGCGGTGAGCACGGCGGGCGGCGGGCGGCGGGCGGCGGGGCCGGGCGGG